CGCAACAAAGAATTACCTAGCCCTAAATGTCTGTTGTGCTGAGGTCAGGAAATGGACAGAAATACAAACTGGCTTCTATTTAGACAACTTACATTAAATAAACTTCTGCCAAAGTTTAGGTAGCCTAAGAAGTTATGAATTGAAAATATCCAGACCTTTACAAGTAGTTGGCACCTGGCAGGTATACAGAACCACTGGATCACACAATCCCCAGAAGCAACACTCATACAGTGACAGAACTACTAAAGGAAATGGTGTGACCATCAATTTGGTGCTTAAAAATCATTCTTTAAAGCACTGCAATAATCCAACAATAAATGTTAGTTCATGTCTTTTATTAACTCAGTTATTTGTCTTCTGGTTTGTTGAAGCAGTAAGTCAGACAACATTTGCCACAATAATGTCTGTCAAAATGGCTTGCCATAAACACTCCAGCACCACATTCATCAGAAGGGCACTCTCGACGAAGGCGACTAATTTTGCCATTCTCATCCACCTGAAAAGTACACAAACTTGCTTTAAGATAATTTCACAACACATTCTGAAGTCTAATTTAACTGACTCAAAATATTTAAGTTTTTAGCTATATGATACTGGTAGTTTTAGTGCTTATAAACCAAAGCACCCTAAATTCTCACCAGTTATTACTACAGTGAAAACATTCAGAAGTCTTGGGACTTTTGAACATTAAAGGCCAGCTTTCCAAGTGGTCAACAAAGGTAAGACCTGAACCCAGACCTGACTTTAAACTCAGAGCCCTATTACATAAGCGATTTCAAATATCAAACAAAAACCCCAGAAAGTGTGAATTTCCCATTTCCAGAATACTTCATTTAAACAAAAGTGGGATAATGTTGGATGCTTAAGTCCAAGAAAATATTGACAAGTTACTATAAAGATTAAGTTTTCCAAATAAACCAAGACTTTGCTGACATTCTGTCCATCTCTTTAACTGGCTCACCTTATAGTATTTCAGAACCGCCAGCTTGACCTTCTTTCTCTTGTGCTTATTCTTCTTGGGAGTGGTGTAAGACTTCTTCTTCCTTTTCTTAGCACCACCACGAAGTCTCAACACAAGATGAAGAGTAGACTCCTGTTAATGGGAGAGAGAATGGAGCAAGCTTTCATGATTGCACTAAGAATGGGCACACCAACATCATGCATCGAATCTTGCCACCTCTATCCCAATAAAGTATCTGATTCTTAACTGTTTACAGGGAGATTAAAGAATGAATTGACTTACACCATGGGATGCAACTTGCAAAATACATGTGAGAAACTATGGCAGTGCTTCAAGTATCAGTACTGGAGTCACCTAAAAAATCTATTGCTAATCTAATCCCATTCTCCCCACTTGTGTCAAAATGTCCAGAAAACAATGCAGGCAGTGGCTCACGTCTGTAATCCCAGCACTGGGAGGCCACGGTGTGAAGATCACTTTAGCCCAGGAGTCTGAGACCAGCCTAGGCATGCGTGGAGGCATGTGCCATTAGCCCCAATTATAGGAGGCTGAGGTGGGAGGATCACCTGAGCCTGCAAGGTGAAGGTTGCAGTGACTGCACCACTCACTCCAACCTGGGTGACAGAGCCAGAGCCAGTCTCAAAAACAGTAGAATGAAATATTTCCAAAATAAGATTTTAAGAGGCTGCTCCTTCCCCCAGACAGACCTTCTGAATGTTGTAGTCAGACAAAGTACGTCCATCTTCCAGTTGCTTGCCAGCAAAGATCAGTCTTTGCTGATCAGGAGGAATTCCTAATGAGAAAAAAAACAACAAAAATTAAGTCACAGCACACCAAGCCTGATGTGCTCCAGATTTATAAGGTAACATCCCTTAATCAAATACATGAATAATAACGGCTGATAATAAGCCCTTACTACAGGACATAGTTCTCAATCTTTACACATCACATTTTACTGCATTTAATCTTAATGCCAATACTTGGCTGGGCGCCATGCCTCAGGCCTGTAATCCCAGCACTTTGGGAAGCCGAGGTGAGCAGATCACTTGAGGCCCGGAGTTTGAGAACAGCCTGGTCAACATGGTGAAACCCAGTCTCTACTAAAAACACGAAAAATTAACCGGGCGTGGTGGTGCACGCCTGTAAACCCTGCTACTCGGGAGCCTGAAGTTGCAGCGAGCCGAGACGCGCCACTGCACTCCAGCCTGGACGACAAAGCAGACTCTCCCTCACACCCAAAATAAAAAAGTGTCCGAATTCACACAAGTGAGATACACCTCAAGGATTCCAATCTAGGTACTGTGCTCCCGGATCATGAACATCTGTTTGTTGTGTTATTTCACAAGCATTACGCTTTGTCAATCTGACCCCTTCCCCCCTCACCAAGAGCAGACATGCCTAGCAGGTAGGTTAACGTCTTCATAGGTTAATTTTTCTTAACTACAAAATATTACTTACCTTCCTTATCCTGGATCTTGGCCTTTACATTTTCTATCGTATCCGAGGGTTCAACCTGTAAGTGTTAAAATGAAAGTAAGTTGGTTACACATTAAGCAACTACAGCAGAACTCGTTTAATTCACGTTGGTAATTACCACTGAACCGAACCGACGGCAGGGCTGAAAGCTACTCAAGGGAGCTGATTACCTATCCAGTGGGCAACCTCCCAAGTCTGCCCCGGAGAGCACCCTCAACTCCCCAGCCCAGGGCGGGCGGGGGCTGCAAGGCCACACGTGCTCGCTCCTGGCAGGCGCAGCTCCTCCGCTTTTAGCTAGTTAGCTACTGGCCCCAAACCCCTCGAGGAGCGAGAGGCCCAGCCTCTGGTCACCAAAAATCAGCTCTAGGCCTTTGCTCAGCAAAAGATCCTCATTTCAGGGCTTACATTTTAGAACCCAAATTCGTTCGGAATCATGGTCTAAGGCTTGGAAGGCAGCGCCAGTGCCAAAATCCACCTCAAGACCTTATTTGAACCTTAGCTTCCTCAGGACCACCTGGCCCGTACCTCGAGGGTGATGGTCTTCCCCGTAAGGGTTTTCACGAAAATCTGCATTTTGGTGGCGGCCCCACCTGAGGCTGAGGAAAAGAAAGAGACGGGTTAGGTCAGAGGACACAAATGTACGAGGCAAACGGCGCCGGCCCGAGAGCATGCGAACAGCAGACACTCACCGCAGATGGCGGATCGAAAAGGAAGAACGCCGCGCAGGCCCACGGGGTTTCCCAGCGCCCCAGCCGAAGGACCCACCCTTTAGGCGACCACACCATATGCCCGACTGCCGTCTCAGCGACTGTCCAACCTGGTGCCAGACTGGATCGTAAACCTTGTTTCTCCTCTCCCTAGCCTGGGCTTATTTCTCACTTTAGCCTTCGGAATGCTCCCGAAATGGTAGGTTTAAACAACGTAAAATATGTTTTAAAAAGGCTTTTCCCGCACAGTCAACTTGGCTAAGAGAGTCTTTAAAAGGAGGTGGGTCGAGAGGGGGCCCTCATTGGGGAAGAGGGAGGAAATGGAAGTGTGTTCTGGGAATTGTAGTTTTCCACTGCTTTCTTCTACCTTGGACTACTAGTCCCAAGATGCACTTCCACCTCCCAGATTCCCTAGTTACTATCGCTAAGCACTGGAGTTGGTGTTTGGAGAAAGGGATTCAGGTGAGAACCGGGGGGAGGATGAAGCGGAATAACGATTCCCGAGTGTGGGACCGGGCCGGAAGTGACTAGGAGGAAAGGTTAAGGGGCAGGCAAAGAGTGCGGGGCACGAAAGGTGTCCGTCACCCACTTGTAGAAACGATGAGGGGTACAGAATCAGTGATCTACCAGACGCTCCCTGGGCTTCCAAGGGAAAGGAATCTGCGTGACCTGCTCCAGGCAAACGGAAAAATAGGTGAAATCTTCGGAAGCGGGTGTTCAGCCCTTTCTTGCCTGTAGCCCCTCCCTGCTTTCAACCGCCAAGCCTCTCCCAGCCCCAGCCCAGAGAAGAGTCTGGGTCTGGTGTGTCACTCCTTAGTGTGACACGCTTTAGTATGTTGAAAATCTCAGGAGTTTTCAGATTTTCATATGAAGCCGCACGGAAAAGAAACTTGCAGAGTGATTATTTAGTTGTAGAATTTTCAATTTTGGGCATTGGAAGTGTTGGATCTGAGAGGAAGTTTTTGGAGTATGGATGGGGTGCTTTTCCGGCAAGGAGGCCAGTTAGAAGCAAGTTGCCCCTGTCCTTTCTGCACTCTACGAACCAGAGTCCTTTCTAATGTACCCTCTTAATATCTTCTGTATTTATTTCTTCATCCTTTGCCGCCTGCGACCCCATCCCCAAATTCAGACCTTAATTTTCCCTTGTAGGGGTTCAGTGTCTAACTCCTCTCTCCAGTCTTTCCTCCTTTCTAACCCACCTTGACTATTGGCTCCAAATACTCATTCTAAAAAGTAAAAGTGAGTGTGTTATTATTCTACTTAAAATATCTCACCTTCAGGATACAATACAAATTTCTTAGAATGACCTTCAGCCTCTGCCTTCCTTACAACCTAATCTGCTTAACACATTACATTTCAGTAAATCGAGCTAATTTAGTTTCCTGACTTTTGCTCTTCCCTGTTTTGGCATTTCTGAAGAATCCAATCGTTTCTTCTTGGAACATTTTTCATCCCATAGTCTGCCAACTAGTCTTTAACTTTACAACAAAATTTCCTAGAGCTGTTTGCACGCATTGTCTCCAGTCTTCCCCTTCCATTGTCTGAACACACTCCTGTCAGGCTTCTGTCCCCACCATTCTGATGGGATAGCTCTTGTGATGGTCACTGACGACCTCCATGTTACTAAATTCAATGGTCATTTCATCTTATTTGATCTGACAGCGGCATTTGACACAGTTGCTCATCCATCTCCCTTTGAAACCCTTCTTTTCTTTTTCTTTCTTTCTTTTTTTTTTTTTTTTTTTTGTGACAGAGTTTCGCTCTTGTTACCCAGGCTGGAGTGCAATGGCGCGATCTCGGCTCACCGCAACCTCCACCTCCTGGGTTCAGACAATTCTCCTGCCTCAGCCTCCTGAGTAGCTGGGATTACAGGCACGCGCTACCATGCCCAGCTAATTTTTTGTATTTTTAGTAGAGATGGGGTTTCACCATGTTGATCAGGATAGTCTCGATCTCTTGACCTCGTGATCCACCCGCCTCGGCCTCCCAAAGTGAAACCCTTTCTTTACCTGACTTCATCTCTTTCACTTTTTCCACCACCCTGGAGGTTCTTTTCCAGGCTCTTTTGCTGCCCCCTCTTGATCTGCCAGACCTCTAACCATGGAGTATCCTCAAGGCCCAGTCCTTGGGCCTCTGCTTTGTTAGCATTTTCTTGGTTATCATATTGTTTAATAACTTTTAAAGTATCCTCATATGCAAATGACTCATAAACTTATCTGTCACTCAGACCACTTAGCTCAGCTTCATATTCACATATCCAGCTATCTACTCAGCATCTCTAATGGACAGTCCCCAAACTCTTAATCTCATGAAATTGCTCTTCCCATCTGTACGTGGCAGTTTTCATTTCTCCAGCGACTGAGGCCAAAAACTTCATGGTCATCCTTGACTGCTCTTTTATATCCCCCGTTTTATCTACCTCGGCACATCTTGGCTTTATTTTCAAAATATGTGCAGAACCTTTCCCACTACCTCCATTGTTACACCCTGATTCAAGCCACCATCATCTTTTGCCTTGATTATTGCAATAGCCTCCTAACAGTACTTCCAGCTTTCACCCTTGCATCCTATAATCTGTTTTCCACAGAGCAACAAGAACAATTCTTTAAAATGTGAGTCAGCTGTTATTTTTCTGCACACAGGCCTTGAAGGGATTTGCATCTCACTCAGAGGAAAGCCTAAATTCCTACAAGTGAGACTGTTGCTCCAGCACTGGAACAAGTAGAGGCCACAGTCCAGTGTTGCTCCTCTTGCCAAGTCTGCCCAGAGAAAGGGACCTCTTTTACTAAACCACACGGAAGTCCCCCTTGGGCTGATAGTAGTTTTGCCCTCCAGGCCCTACATCCTACATAATCTGGCAGGTACCTCTCTGATCTCATCTCTTCTCTCCCATTCTCATTCTCTTCTAGCCCCATGGGCCCTCTTGCTGTTCCTCAGATGTGCTGTCCTACCCCAAGGCCTTTGGACTGGCTACTCTTTGCCTTAACTACTCTTCTCCCATGAATCTACATGACCTGCTATTTTCAGATTTCTGAAATGTCACCTTATCAGTGAGGTCTTTCATCTTTCCTGACTTATTGCTTTACGGAAAACAGTACCCTCCCACCTTTCTTAGTCTCTATCCCCCATACCTTGTTTTATTTTTCTTTGTATACCTTAACCCTCATCATATTATATTTCTGTATATTTTTTCTTTTTTTCTTTCTTTCTTTCTTTCTTTTTTTTTTTTTTTTTGAGAGAGTCTTCCTCTGTCTTCCAGGCTGGAGTGCAGCGGTGCAATCTTAGCCAACTGCAACTTCCGCCTCTCTGGTTCAAGTGATTCTCATATCTCAGCCACCTGAGTAGCTGGGATTACAGGTGTGAGCCACTGCGCCCAGCTAAGTTTTGTATTTTTTAATAGAGACTGGGTTTTGCCATGTTGGCCAGGCTGACCTCAAATTCCTAACCTCAAGTGATCCGCCCGCCTCAGCTTTCCAAAGTGCTGGGATTACAGGTGTGAGCTACCATGCCTGGCCTATTTTTTTCCCTTGTGTGTTCTCTGTCTCTACTTGAATGTAACCTCTATAAGACTAGGGACTTTGTTTTATTCAGTTCTGTATCTCCAGTATCTAGAATAATGGCAGACAAACAATTAGTGCCTTCCAAATACTGAGTAAATAAATGCAGCACAACTTAAGCATTGCCCCAGATTTTTTTTACTAGATATTTTCCCTGATGTTTCCTTGCCCCCTTCCACAGGCTAATGAGATGCCCCTCTGGCTTTCTGTGGCCTATTGTGCTCACCTCTGTCACACTGCCTTTTCTGCTCTGTAGAAGTGGCTCATTTACTAGACCTGAAACGCTTGTCTGGGAACCCTTGTGACTTGTCAACATATCCCTAAATATCTAATATGAATGAATGAATGATAATCTTAGTTGGTTTATGTAACTCAGTGGCATTTTGTAGATGCTAAGGAACAATCACCTTAGCTGTGTTCTGGTTTGAGAGTATCAAGTCCAGTGTCTTATGGACAGACTAGATTATTGTTCAGTGATTATTGGTTATTCGGCAAATATGTGTTTGCGTGCTGCTCTGCTAGGAACCGTATTATGCACTTGAATGCATGTGGTGGGGGAGGGTTAATAGGGAATGAGAACATTTTGTTTCCTGATCTTGTCAAGCTTACAGCCTAACAGACAGAATATAAACAGGAAGTCTGCAAGGCAGTGTGGCGGAAAGATAATACCATGATGGAGGAAGTGCATGGTATTATGGAGAACATAGCAATGGCATCTGACCAATTTTAAGGGAATCCAGGACAGCTTTCCTGAAACTGAAGAAAGATTAAAAGCCAAGTGAATCAAAGTGGTAGTATGTATGTGTTTTGGGGATTGGGGGTAATATAGAAGGATGTTCTGCAAGGAGGGGGAGAGAACTATGTAAGATCCTAAGGTAAGAGAGCAAGTTCATGGGAGTGGGGATGGGGATATGGGGCAAAGGATAGGGCCATGAAGAGAGTAAGTTTGGCTGGAGAACAAGAGTCCTTGGTTCCTGAAGGACACTAATAGGTCAGGTAAAGGAACTTGGATTTTATCCTAAGGGTAATACTGTAGGAAGCCACTGGTATCCAAATGTCACTACCCACCTCACTAATGATTACACCGGTTTCTTCCTCCTTTGACTTTCTTCTTTTACTATTTGAAATTATATTATTTATTTATAGTCTGTCTCCCCTATGAGATCATAAGCTGCAAGGAGCCAGGGATCTTATCTGTCTTACTGCTGAATTCCTAGCTGTGAAACACTGCCTGGTGCTTTGCTGACACTGAATAAATACTGGCTGAATAAAGGAATTAAAAATACAAAATTAAAAAAAAATTATTTCTCATTTAGGAAAACTTGATTCATTTATGGGTTATTCCTCCTGCTGGAACTACTTTATATTAATTTATAAATTGACTCCAGTTCATCAACATGAAGATAAATCTGGTCTTTTAAACTTCAGAATTATTTTGGTGTCTCCTCTTCTAGTATATGGCTATGGGCAGTATTTTTAGGCTATATATGTTATTTCAGATAACTAGATATCAGTTATATTGCCAGAACATGATACAATTGATGATTTAGACATTTATTTATCATGGCATTGTTTGTAATAGTGAAAATAGTAGCCGAGTGCAGTGGCTCATGCCAGTAGTTTCGGCACTTTGGGAGGCCAAAGTGGGCTGAGCACTTGAGGCCAGGAGTTTGAGACCAGCCTGGCCAACATGGTGAAACCCCATCTCTACTAAAATTATAAAAAATTAGCCAGATGTGGTGGCACACGCCTCTAGTTCCAGCTCCTTGGGAGGCTAAGGCAGGAGAATTGCTTGAATTCAGGAAGCGAAGGTTGCAGTGAGCCAAGCTCTGTAATCCCAGCACTTTGGGAGGCCAAGGCGGGCAGATCACTTGAGGTCAGGAGTTCAAGACCAGCCTGGCCAACATGGTATGAGCCACTGCACCCGGCCATGGTTTCTCTTTCTATTGTGAACCATTTATATAGTATTTCTTTACATGAATTAATCCATTCTACTCTTGCTGAACATTTGATTCTTTATTTTTTTTAAGTTTTAGATATTATGAATAAACCTTTACATGTCTTTTGGTGGCTATCCATTAATTTTCTTTGGTTATATTCTTGATTTCATTTTGGTTTAAATGTGTTAATATGCCTATAAAGACCACCTTTACAGAGGAAGTATAACACACTCATCATACCAGCAAGTAGTGGTAGAAAGCAGATGGGATGAAACACAGAGATTATGAGTGCCATTGAAAAGCCTTTAGTTATAGAAATATAAAGAAAATGTGCTATAAATAAAAACAAAAGCTCTAGGAAAATGCTACTTATGTAAGCTGGATGTGAGCCATGGCAGTGGATTCTGATATGAATAAAGTCCTATAGAATGCTGAATAAAGAAGACAAATAAATGATTATACTGTAATATTTGTGCTACTTCATTGATCATATTTCTGTTTGCCAGGTGTTATATATGGCTTTAATGTGAATGCAGGCAATGTTATCCAACAGTCAGCTGCTGTCAGTGAGTTTCCTTACAGAGAGACCATTGCAGCCACCTATGGTGCTCCATGGCCTCAACACAACATGACGTCTTCCCCTACATGCACCTGCTGGTGGCCTCTTAGGAGCTGCCCCACAGAAGGAGGTCATCCCTCTCAGTCACATCTGAGTAGCATTCACTCATGCCTCGGCCCTGAGGGGAACGCAGGGGTGACTGGCCAGGTCCCTGGCTGTGTCTGGCCTGGCATCTGCCTTTGGACTACCTTCTTGGCATAGCTCCCTGGGCCTGTGGCTGCTCCAAGCTGGGCTCCATCTCCCCTGAGCTGCAGTGCTGCTCCCAATGGTCTACAAACAAGGCTGGCATGGCAGCTCCCAGCTTAGCAGCATCCCGGTGCAGGCTGGCCTAGGAGCTCTGTGCAGGACGCTGCCCAATGACCCAGCCCTGGCTGCACTCACGTCCAAGAACCCAGCTGGCTGGGGGGCCTCTGGCAGAGCTTTCCTTTTCTTCAAGTCTTGCCGAATTCCTGGAGGAAAAGCACTAATGTTCTCCTGGACACAAGGGAGGCAGACTCTCTTGGAGTAGAATAAACCGCACTCCTTTCCAGTCTTCCTTTCCCAGCTTCTCCTGGACCAAGAACTCCTCCATGTGCCTCAAATAGTCCCTACAGCACCCTGCGGAGGCTCCTCCTGTCCTGGCCCATCTGGTCCCTCTGGCTGTTGATACAGCTCCCCTGTGTGCACATGACCCTGCGGCAGATGATCTGGGACTTCTCAGACTCCAAGATCACTCTGAGTACACTGGCCATGCAGCCTGCTGGAGAAACTGCGGTGTGAGCCTAGAATCCCAGGGATCTCCTTGTCGGAGGTGCAGGGATCCTTCATGACATAGCTTTCCTTCAGGAGGACCATCGACTGGGTGTCTGGGGGCTTCTGCCCCCCTTAGCTGTGCAGAGCTGTCAAGGCAGAGTTCACACTCAGACCCTCCCAGAGGATGCCACTCCGCATGGGACGCCATCCAGTTCCTTCTTTGACTATGGAATTAAGTACAACGTTATCAGCTGGCCCCTGGCTGTGACCTCTTGTCGCCTGAACTGAGGTGGTGTGTAAGGGCATATGCCAAGGGCTTTGCTGCTGGCTGACCCCAGATGCAACTCCAGGAAGCGTGGGTTACCAATGACTAACGGTTAGGATCGGTCAGGTGACTTACGCCTGTAATCCCAGCAGGTGTTTGGGAGGCCGAGGCGGGCAAATTGCCTGAGCTTAGGAGTTCGAGACCAGCCTGGGCAACATGGTGAAATCTTCGTCTCCACTAAAATATAAAAAATTAGCCGGGCGTGGTGGCGTGTGCCTGTAGTGCCAGCTACTTCGGAGGCTGAGGCAGGAGAATCGCTTGAACTGGGGAGACGGAGATTGCGCCACTGCAATACCGCCTGAGTGACAGAGCGATACTCTGTCTCAAACAAAAAAGTGCGTGAACCTGATCCCGCTTTTCTTCTGCCGCCAAGGGGCGGCGCCCTGTCAGCAGGGGCGGTTAAGTGGGTTCGAGGAGCTGGTGGTCCCCGCGAGCCTCGGCGCGCCCTTTCTCGCCCTCGCGCCGCGCGAGGTCAGGCAGGACCGTCCGCAAGGGCGACCACCCGCTCCTCCGTTGCGTCCCCAAAGCCGAGAGCACCGGCGTGGATCTCAGTCCCGGCGAGCGAGCGAGAGGCGCCTTGAGGTGGCGCGGGGCCAGCACAGCGCGCTCGCCCTTCCAGCGGTTCGTGATTCTTTATTGAAAGTAGTGTAACAGCTGCTTGAAAACTGTTCTCTGAAAAATACTGTTATTTTTGACATCATTGAGGGACAAATTTTAGCAGAACTCCTTACCTCTTTTTGCTTGGTACTTTAATATTAAAGATGAGAATTATAATAAAGTTTATTATTTATAGCTATTGTGTGCTGGATGAAACTAGGCCAGATAAGCGCCAGGGTCGTAAAGTATTTGACCTTGTTTGTGTCAAGAGGCTTACAAACTAGTTTTCCCACATGACACAAATAAATATAAAATACCAAACCTTCTATTAGAAAGCGTGAATTAGCGTAAGAGACCATCAGTTATACGATACATATGAGGAGTTCTGCATAGTTCGGAAGAGAAGAGCTCTTAGTTGACTGGTGTTTGGTATTTCTGTTGCGGCAGTGAAATAGCACAGACCTTTTAATACATAGGTTGACATATTTATCACAGAAACAGATGGGCAATTTTTTCTGAAATATACATTTTAGATCTACATTTGACTTAATTAAAAATGATTATATTAATTGCTGCTCTTTTTTTTCTTTCAGACTTATCAAAGATTTGACTTTGTTGCAAGAGCAGATCAATATTTAACTTTTCTCCAGTGAACAAGTGTGCGGATTGTCACCTATGTCAGTCCATCAAATAAGAAAACATGCAGTTCTCCCACCTATCATTTGCAGAAGTGACAAGGAATTTTTGGAAAGTATGCAAAGATACATAATCACAGAAACTGAAAGACTGGGCTGTAATGAGGAAGGACCTGCTGATGAATATTACATCATATACCGAAATGTTTTTGACAAGGTATCATAATGCTCTTAAGACAATTAAGTTTTCATGAAGAGAGCAATGATCAGTCTTGACAACCAACATTCCTGCCGTAGTGTCACCACTGTTTGAGTGATCACATTCCATTTGCCGATTTTGAGAAGTTCATCTAATTTCTCAGAAAGGCATGAATGGGAAAAATACAATTCTAGATTTGTGTTTCCTGACTGTGAATGAGTGTTTCATTATTTTAGCTTGAGACCAGATTGTAAGTTTTCTTTATATATTTTTTAAAGACAGGGTTTCACTCTACCACCCAGGCTGGAGTATAGTGGCACACTCATAGCTCATTGCAATCTCAAACGCCTGGACTCAAGTGATCCTCCTGCCTCAGCCTCCTGTATTAGGACTACAGGCTTGTGTCACCACTCCTGACGAATTTTTTTAACTTTCAGTAGAGAGAAGATCTCTATGTTGCTCAGGCTGGTCTTGCACACCTGGCCTCAAGTGATCCTTCTATCTTGGCCTCCCAAAGTGCTGGGATTACAGGCACGAACTACCGGCGCCTAGCCCAGATTCTCAGTTTTTGATCAACTGCCTGACTGTATGCACCCTCTGATAATAATTTTGACCTTTTCATCTCAGAGTATCTGATTTATTAGGATTTGGGCTGCAAGTAGGAACATGGTACTTCCTTGTTATTTTGAGCTTGTGGTATCGTTAAATTATTGGTTAAGATTTGATCTAACATTAAATTGAGGTTCCTTGTAGATTGGAGCTCTATCTAGAACTATCTAGTTATGGTTTATAAGGAATTAGACTGGACTTAATGTTGGAAATATGGAGATCAGCTTACAAAATGCTGTGACTTTGTGGAACATATTTGATTTTGCTTTTTAAGGTTTTAGAAATACCTATTATCCTTCTAAACAATTGCAGTTTTTCCACCTCTCCTAATTTATTTATGCAACTCTTTTTTCCCACCCCATCCCTAGAAGATACCCTGACATTTAAATAAGTGAAATCAGCATCTTTCCTTTTTGTCAGAGGAATTACTTACCTTAAGACTTCAGTAAACTCTTAGTCTCTGAGAAAAACAGCCACAGGCAAAATAGAAACTTAGTCTTTTGTTTGATTTTTAAACATTACACACTATGACCCTTATTTCTCCTCTAAATAAAAACCTAATGCCTCACGCTAAGGGAAAGTGAGCATAAGGTAATGATATATACCTACCAGTAGAATAAGGAAAGTTAATACATATCCATAGGAGTATAAAATAGAGAAGCAGAGTCTTTCCTTCCTTTTACATCATACAGAAAATCTGTCTTTTAGAATTGGTACATTGGCAGATTAGCTTCATTTTATATGCTGTTATGATCAATGATACTGCTTTTGTTTTAGTTATTAAGGAATGTATTGAATGAATGAATGTTTAAATAAAGGTAATGCATTGAATAGGTTTTATAACTATCAAGAGTCATGCTGTGACTCTACCTGTGTGAAATTAGCAAAGGAAAGTCATAACTGTAACGTGTTTATCTTTGCATGCTCAAGTGCTAACACTTGTCAGTATTTTTCTTACATGAAGAGCTGTCTGCTTTACATTAATGTAGTTATAGTAAAGTCATTTTGGAGGTATTGTTGGTAAATTTAATTCCTAGAGAAAACATACAATGTTAAATAGAAAATAATATTGACATCTATAATCCATGTTTCTTTTCTCCTGGTGAGAGGAAAAAATTTCCATTTGTGCTATTTGCACATTGCATAATTGTAAATTTTACATTGTAAAGAATTCTGTTTTTCAGGACTGAAAGGGGATCTAGAAATGGAAATCATTTGATACTTTGAGAAGCTTTTCTTCTAGCTTCTTAATAACAGATAATTTACCTCTTTCCTTTCCACATTATTTTAGCACATTGTTAATGAACTATTAATGACTATCTTCTTTAATCTTCTTGATCTTAGAAGGAACTAGTTGGGCAGAAGATAAAAGTGTCAGCTTGCATCTCTGGGTACTTGGAATCAGGGAACAAATGCCAAATTGTGTTTAAAATCAAAGAGAGATAGTTTAACCTGGAGAATCATACCTGAATCAAAGTAAGGAGGTCTTGAGATTCATAACAACAGTTGGGGGTGGATTGTAGGATGAGCCAAAAACCTAGTAAGCAAAGAAGACCAAAGCTCCGAAGAATGAGCTTCTTTAGAAATGGATGACTTTTTGGGCTGGCTGCAGTAGCTCATGCCCGTAATCTCAGAATTTTGGGAGGCTTGGTAGGAGAATTGCTTGAGGCCAAGAGTTTGAGACCAGCCTGGGCAACATAGCAAGACTCTGTCTGTACCAAAAAAGAAAAAGGGGGCAGAGATATGGAGGTAGCTGGACTCTGTAAAGCAGCTGATGTTTTGTGTTCCTATAGCATATTGTACAGGTAGTTCAGATCCATATGCAGGAGCTGAGGTGGAATGAAAACCATTCCTCTTCTCCCTGAGACCCCTGTACCTGGTATGTATAGCTATGGTCATTTTCTTGGATTTTATAGCAACCTTAATGCAGTGGTCTCAAACTTAAATGCCTGTAGAAGCCAGCAAGGTAATATAAAAGAGTTAAGTGGGCTGGCTATTAGAGAACAAGGAATGGTGGGGATTGTGGTAAAATGAAAAACCAACTTAATTGAAAGCTCCAGCTATTATTGCCATTAAGGAATAGGGGTTCCATGTTGGAAGATTTTTCAGAGAGTTTTCAAGAGAAGCTGAAAATGTGGTTTTGGGATGAAGTTTCCTAAATTTTAAAATATTTTGTTGGTTAAGCAAAATTGCCAGTTCTATTCAACCTATGGTGTGTCAGTTTGCATCTTCTACTTTAGCGTGTTTTCTGTGCATTCTTAAAGGTTCCCATGAGTGCTCTTCTGAAATCTGTTTCTTCTAGCAAACAGACTTTGGAGCTGATCGTGATACCACTGCATATTTATTATCTACTCATTAATGTATCTGAGTTGTCTTAGATTGTTGGAGTGCACCCTGTTGCTCCTGGCCACAGATTGGAAAAGCCACAGATTGATAACCTCTATTTTGTCAAAGTTTCTTGATTTGGGTGGATAAGTAGTATGGTCATGTCATAAAGACCACCAGGATCACCAACTCAAATATCCTCTCCTGGCACTTGCCAGGAGATCAATAATCTTTTTATATCATTTGTTGATCGACCAGATGCCTTCCTAGATACTTTTTCTAGATATTGCCTAGGTAAAGAAAGCCAGTGGAGGATACCAGAGGCTAGAAATGTAGCAGGAATAGAAAGCATAATTGCAGCTTTCAGAGAAAATTAGGGATTGATCTTGTCTATTCTCCATATTCATCAATCCCTTCTGAAATCTTTATGTGCAGAATTTGGAAACCACACATTATTTATAACTTTTCTGTTTTTATTTTTTGGCTTATTTAAAAATATTTCCTTATTTTTACATGGGTAATGCATATATAAGATTAACAAAAAATAAATGACTAAATAAACCAGTAAAGGAGATTGTATAATGGAAAGTCTGGCCCTTCTCATCTCAGATTCTATTTCTCCTGTCCTTCTCTACAGGCACCCACTGTGTCTGTTTTCTTCTGTTATCTTTCCAGAGATGTTTTTTTGTGCTGAAACACCATTTGACGCCATGAATGTAGAGTGATGAGGGATTTTTTTACAGTTGCACATGAAATCCTGGGAATAGAAATGCAATTAGATATTGAGAATATTGATGAATCAATAGGAGCTGATTCATTTGAAAAATAAGGAGGTGAAGAGAATCCAGGATTTTAAGGTTTAAATGAAGTTAGAGACTAGATTTGGAGGGAGTAAGAGAAGACACAGAATTATATTTAAAAGATTCAGAACTGGGAAAATTAGAACTGATATTATTTTTAACTGAAATCTTATGTATGTGTTCATACGAAGTAGAACAAAAATCTGGTCTTTTTTTCCCTCTAATATTTAAACTCTGCAGTATCTGTTGTAATCATCCACAAAGCGCACATATTTAGTAAATTTTGCCTTTAGTGTCCAGTTATGTTTGAGCTTGCTGTAAAGTTTTTAGATTTCGAATTGCTAATCATGTTTCATTAAAAAAATAATAATCTGTAATGGCTGGGCACGGTGGCTCATGCCTGTACTCCCAGCACTTTGGGAGGCCAAGGCGGGTGGATCACAAGGTCAGGAGTTCGAGACCAGCCTGACCAATATGGTGAAACCCCATCTCTTAAAAAAAAAAAAAATCTGTAATGTTATTTGTAAGACTTTCAATCTATGGTCTTCTAGAAAAAAAATCAATACCATAGGCAAAAAAATAATATTTCAGGTAATTGAGCATGCCACTGCATACAAATCCATTCTTACTTCAATCAAAAAAGAATATGATGCCTTTATTGAGACAATAAAGAAAAGCCAAAGAACTGCAGTCTGTCTTCATGGAAAACTTAAAAGTTTGGCAGCAGAGCCTACAGCGTTGGTATATCACAGGAAAAGAACAATCCAACTTGAAGCAAAGTAAGTATTTTAGTAACTAGTCCAAAAGATTATAGTTGTAGCTTGGTTATAGCAACTAGCCAGTGTAATTCTAGCCAGCGGTTCTTAGTCTTACTGAATTTCCATTTTATTTAAATGCTATATTTTTATGTTACCTCCTCTTAGTAACTTGAAATTACTGTATTGTTTACTTATTTCAATTAAAAAACATTACTTTTGCTTGAGAACTTTTATGGTACCTGTTAGTATAATTTTTTTTTTTTGAGACAAGGTTTCACTCTTGCCCAGGGTGGAGTGCAATGGCGAAATCTTGGCTCACTGCAACCTCTGCCTCCTGGTCTCAAGCAATTGTCCTGCCTCAGCCTCCTGAATAGCTGGGACTACAGGTGCATGCCATCATGACCGGCTAATTTTTTTTTAATATTAAAAATAGAGATGGGGTCTCACTTATGTTGCCCAGGCTGGTCTCAAACTGCTGAGTCCAAGCAATCCTCCTGCCTCGGCCTCCCAAAGTACTAGGATTACAGGTGTGAACCACTCTGCCCAGCCAAAAGGCAAGAGTGGGCAAATGTAGTCTTTTTTTTTTTTTTTTTTGAGACAGAGTCTCACCCTGTCACCCAGGCTGGAGTGCAATGGCACGATCTCTGCTCACTACAACTTTCACCTCCTGGGTTCAAGCAATTCTCCTGCCTCAGCCTGCTGAGTAGCTGGGATTGCAGGTGCATACCGTCACGCCTGGCTAATTTTTTGTATTTTTAGTAGAGACCGGGTTTCACCATGTTGGCCAGGTTGGTCTCAGACTCCTGACCTTGTGATCCGCCTGCCTCGGCCTCCCAAAGTGCTGGGATTACAGGAATGAGCCACTGTGCCCGACCTGTAGTCTTAGTCCTTTTGTCTGTTTGAAGCAGAGTCTTGCTCTGTTGCCCTGGCTGGAGTTCAGTAACCTGATCTTGGCCCACTGCAACCTCTGCCTCCCAGGCACAAGTGATCCTCCTGTCTCAGCCTCCCAAGTAGCTGAGACTACAGGCACAAGCTACCATGCCTGGTTAATTTTTGTATTTTTTGTAGAGATGGAATTTTGCTATGTCAGGCTAATTTTTGTATTTTCTGTAGAGATGGGGTCTTGCCATGTTGCCCAGGCTGGTCTCCAACTTGTGAGGTCAAGTGATCTGCATGCCTCAGCCTCCCAAAGTGCTGGGATTGCAGGCATGAGCCACCACGCCTGGCCCTCTTAGTATAATTGAAGGCACACTGTTGTATCATAAAATGAGGATCTTTGTGGGATGACTCACACCTGTAATCCCAGTACTTTGAGATGCCAAGGGAGGATTTCTTGAGCCCATAAATTTGAGATAAGCTGGGCAACATAGTGAGGCCCTGTCCTTACAAAAAAGGTAAAAACAAATTAGCTGAGTATGGTCCAAGTTGCTTGGGAGGCTGAGGTGGGAGGATTGCTTGAGCCGGAGAGATGGGGACTGTAGTGAGCCATGATTGAACCAATGCACTGCAGCCTGGGTGACAGAGTGAGACCCCGTCTCAAGAAAAAAAAAAAAAGGAATAAAATAAAATAAATAAGGGATACAGGTAATCGCCCTAAGTAATTTCCTCCATGGAAGATTTAATAGTACAATTTCATGAGTACTATCTGAATTAGAGCACTTAATCCTGTTATTCACAAAGGTAAGTAACCGACTGGGAGAGGATAAGATGCTCAATCTTGTTGAGTAGTCTTTTATTTTCAGTGTTACATTTGGGAAATGATGAGTAAAGTATTTTTATAGATAATTTTAAGTCAATACTTTGAAAACTATGCAAAGTTTGTCCTCCATTTCTGTTAATATGGCTGACTAGATGTTGAGATAGACCCTCCTATTGGGGAAAAATACTACATAATATATTTTTTAAAAAATCTTTCTAAAAGCATCAGAAAGTCAAAATCAGGACAAAATCTAACAGAAGACAAGAGATAAGCAGAGCACTAAAACTGCTCTGGCCCTGAGAACATTTTTTAAAAAACGAATGACCATAATTTTCAGTTTTTACTATGGCATACAGAATAAAAAGCAAAGCCCAGGATCACTCCACATGATATAGTCTATTGGGAAACACTCACCATGTGAAGCTAGGAAGGTAAAAGGCTATATATGCCATCATAGGGTGAACCAGGGGTAAACTGCTCCACCCCTGGGACTGCAAGGAAAATTGCCGTTTACTGAGCTGATTGCTGATGAGTACACAGTTTATTTTGGGGGCAATGAAACGTTCTGGAATTAGTGGTTGTAGTTGCACAACTATACTAAAAAATTCCTTGAATTAATACACTTTACGAGAATGATTCTCAAGGTATGTTAATTGTATCTCAATAAAGCTATTATAAAAAGATACAGAGGACACAGTGAGAAGGTCATATTATTATGTCTAATCACAGCTCTACAATGAAGAGACTATGGGACACAGATAATATTTAAAGAAATAATGGCTGTGAGTTTTCTGGAACTGGTGAACAACGCCAATTCATAGATTCAACAAACCCAAAGAATCCCAAGTATGATAAATGCTAGGAAATACTCAACAAGGTTCATTTTAGCGAAGTTGTCAAAAATAGAGATCATAAAGTAGCAACAAATAGAGATCATAAAGAGCAACAATTAGATACCTTCTTATCCATGGGGTAACGTGTATCAGAACTTCTTTCCTTTTTATGGCTGAATAATACTCCATTGTATGTATATACTATATTTCGTTTATCCATTCATCTGTTTTTGGACACTTGGGATTGTTTCCATTTTTGGCTATGTGAATAATGCCACTCTGAAAATTCATGTACGAGTATCTGCTTTCAGTTTCTTTTGAAAGTCTGCTTATTTTTAACATATCTTCCATTTATAAGCACAAATTTATTTGGAATAAAGCCAGTGAATATTTTATGTCCACAGTCCTTTCATAAATCCTGCAAGCTCTTTACTCTGAGCCATCAATAGTTGCCAAGAACGCTATATAATAGTCCGAAGTAGCCAGCAGTTATCTACTGACAAGCTTGTTCTTAATTCGCCAAAAACCCTGTGACATTTATATATTGACAAAAATTCGCTTCCCGATCAAATTTTACTCAGGCTCCCCTGAACCCTTTTCAACTAGGCCTGACTTTCAGACTTACACATTTTCATCTCTGCACCATTCAGTTTTAGCAAGAATCCTGTGAAGTAAGTTTAGTCAGAACACACCATCCTTGATACGTGATCCCCCAACCACCCTCCAGGTGATGTCTAGTTACTGTGGCCTGCCTTCAGCAAGAATCCTGGTAGGTCAATTTATCCAGAATCTCTCCTCTATTCTGATGTTTCCTTTTAGTAACTTGTCATGCTCTGACCCCACCCTGCTCTTTAGCTATAAATTCATACTCGCCCATGTCGCATTCAGGCTGAGTCTAATCATTCTCCATTGTTGTAGTTCCTATACCTATCACCATGGCCCCTCCTGTAAAAAATCTTCCTTACCATACTTTAACACGTGTCATCAATAATTTTTCTGTAAGTGTGTATTTTAATATGTTATTTCCCCCTTGGGCCAACATAACTAGGAAGAAAACTTCAAATAATGCTTAAGAGAAGTTTATACTACCTTTTGGTCTTTAAAATTTCCATTTCTGGATAAACTTTGTTTTATCTCAGTATAATGCTGTCTTTCCTTTAGCTCTAAGATCAGAATCACTGTAGTGGACTGAATAACGATTCTCAAAGACATCAGGTCCTAATCCCTGGAACCCCTAAATGTTAACCTTATTTGGAAAAAGGGTCTTTGTAGATGTGATTAAAGATTTTGAGGCTGGGCATGGTGTCTCATGCCTGTAATCCCAGCACTTTGGGGGGCCAAGGTGGGTGGATCACCTGGTCGTAAATTCAAGACCAGCCTGGCCAACATGGTGAAGCCCCATCTTTTACATAATTAATTAATTAATTTTAAAAAAGATTTTGAGATAGGGAGGTTATAAAAGTAAGCCCTAAATACAATCATAAATGTCCTAATAAGAGGGAAACAGGAGCTTTGCTACTTGAAGAGGAGAAGGCAGTATGACCATAAAGGCAGAGACTGAAGTGATGAAGTCAGAATGCTTGCAGCCCCAAGGCTGGAAAAATCAAGGAACAGATTCTGAAGGAGGCGTGGCTCTGCCAACACTTTGATTTTGGTCCAGTGATACTGGTTTTGAATTTCTACCTTCCAGAATTGTAAAAGAATACACTTCTGTTGTTTGAAGTCACCAAGGTAGTGGTGATTTGTTACAATTGCCACAGCAAAGTAATATAATTACTTATGAAAATAATTTTTAAATTAGAAAAGTAATTTTCTACTAAAGAGAATAGATAGATAGCATTTTGTGGTCATATTATGATTAGCGTGAATTTCCAATACGGTTCAGAATCATAGTATGAGATTTTATCGATGCTCAGAAAGAAAATTGTTCCTCATTTGTGAGGCTAGGTAACTTTTCGAGGGCATTGCACTTAGTCTATAATGCTTCAAAATAATGTAACGATTTAACCTGTTTTACTTTAGATTTTGTGGTTCAAGAATCAAGTTAGTTGAAAGACATAATGAAGGCTTTCTGTTTTCTAGAATGAGGATTATTGAAAATAATTCCTCAAAGATTCAATCTCAAATACATAAAATCAAGCAGCATAGGGCAGAGTATGACACGAAAGAAGCAAAATATTGTCCTTTCTCCAAAGATCCTTCAAAGCCTATTCCAGGTATTGTATTTTCTTTACAATATTTGAGAGAAATCCTATTTCCAAATTTTACCTAAGCCATACGTTAATATAAATATGTATCTGATGTGCGTGCATCTTGAAAGTGTGTTATACACATAATTTTAGTCAGGACTCTAGGTGGATTCAAGGGAATGGAAAAACAAACTCTTAAAGACTGAGTTTAAGTCTGCTGGGTTATATAAAGTGTAATGCAGTGGCTCCTGAAATGTGGTTCCCATATCAAAGTCAACAACATCACCTAAAGGTGTCTTAGAAATGCAAATTCATGGGTCCCATCAGATCAGAGACTTAACTGTGTCAGAAACTCGATGGGTGAAGTTCAGCAGTGTCTTAACTAGTCCTCAAGGTTTTTCTTTTCTTTTCTTTTCTTTTCTTTTCTTTTCTTTTCTTTTCTTTTCTTTCTTTTCTTTTCTTTTCTTTTCTTTTTCTTTTCTTTTCTTTTCTTCTTTTTTGAGACCCAATCTCTCTCGGTCACCCAGGCTGGAGTGTGGAGTGTGGTGGCGCAATCTTTGCTCACAGCAACCTCCATCTCCAAGGTTCGAATGACTCTCATGCCTTGGCCTCCCAAGTAGCTGGGATTACAAGCACGGGCCACCACACCCAGCTAATTTTTGTGTTTTTAGTTGAGATGGGGTTTCGCCATGTTGGCCAGACTTGTCTCAATTTCTTGGGCTCTAGCGATCCACCCACCTCAGCCTCCCAAAGTGCTGGGATTACAGGCGTGAACTACTGTGCCTGGCCGCTTCAGGTTTTTTGGATGCTCTTTAAAGTTTGAGAACCCTTGGTATAATATAAGGAAAACTGTAGTGTATTAAGTTCTGGTGGATATTGTTGATTCATGTTGATGTCAGCATTCTCTGCTTCCACATCTTCAGTATAATACTGTTACCACATTTTAAGAAATTGTAGTATGTCCTGGAATTCATCTAGGATAGTGAGAGGTTTTTACAATGAGTGGATAGAGGAATTACAAATATTCATCTGGGAAAAAGAAAGACTTTGAGAATAGATAATAGTATTCCAAACTCTTAACGATTTTGGCTAGTGTTTATTCTGAGGCAGGATTAATAGGTAGAAATTTTGGGAAACCAGATTTGGTCTCAGTGGAAGAAGCTGTGTTCTGAAGTAATTAGCTTTGCTGTGCTAGAGGATTTCAACTGTGGTTGAATAATTATCTGTGTTTCATAAAAGTAGGGACTAGATTCACTTTCTTTCTCTCTTTTTTTTTTTTTTTTTTTTTTTTTTGAGACGGAGTCTCGCTCTCTTACCCAGGCTAGAGTGCAACGGCATGATCTCAGCTCCCTGCAACCTCTGCCTCCTGGGTTCAAGCAATTCTTCTGCCTCAGCCTCTCAAGTAGCTGAGATTACAGGTGCCCACCACCATACCTGGCTAATTTTTGTATTTTTAGTAGAGGCGGGGTTTCACCATATTGGCCAGGCTGGTCTCAAACTCCTGATCTTGGGATCCTCCCTCCTTGGTCTTCCAAAGTGCTGGGATTACAGGCATGAGCCACTGCGCCTGGCCTAGATTCACTTTCAAATATAAATTGTGACTAGCAAATGACAAATAAGATACATATTAATAAGTACAGTATAACTGACAAATTGACTCAGTGTTGAGAAGATTGAGGGTAAGGGACTGGTTAAAATCAAGTAGCATCAATCCAGGAAAGTTTTTGGAGGAGGAGTATTTTGTGGTATGTCCTAAAGTCAACAATTGGCCCAAATGAGAAAGGAAGATGTTTAGGGCTTGGCACAGTGGCTCACACCTGTAATCCTAGCACTTTGGGATGCTGAGTTGAGAGGATCTCTTGAGCCCAGGAGTTTGAGATCAACCTGGACAGACACTGTAAGAGCCTCTCTCTCTCTCTATGTTTTTTTTTTTTTAAAGGCATTTGAAGAGAGAGAGAAAGTTATGAATAATAAGCAGAGGGGACAGTGAGAGAGGACTGAAGCTTTAGATTGCATTTACATTTTGTGTTGGAAATAATAAACTGATTACTCTGAGGTTAGCTGTAATAGAGTAATGGGAGATTTGTTTAGAGAGAAATCTGTTGACAAATCCTGAATTGTTAGGCAGAAGCTCTTGGTGTTATTGACTTATAGTGATATTTAGGGGTCTTCAGGCTGTATTAATGAATCACTAAAAAAATTGTTTTGAGATGCTAAGGTTTGTGTGTTCTCAGACAGTCTTCACTGAATCTTCATTGACAATCTTTAAAACAGCTAATCTGAGGCCAGGTGTGGTGGCTCACGTCTGTAATCCCAACACTTTGGGAGGCCGAGGTGGGTGAATCACCTGAGGTCAGGAGTTTGAGACCAGCCTGGCCAACATAGTGAAACTCTGTCTCTATTAAAAATACAAAAATTAGCCAGGCATGGTGGCAGGCGCCTGTAGTCCCAGCTACTAGGGAGGCTGAGGCAGGAGAATCGCTTGAACCTGGGAGGTGGAGGTTGAAGTGAGCTGAGATCGCACAACTGCACTCTAGCCTGGGAGACAGAGCAAGATGCCAACTCAAAAAAAATAAAAAGTAAAAAAATAAATAAATAAACTTCTAGCCTGGCCTGGCACAGTGGCTCACACCTATAATCCCAGCACTTTGGTAGGCTGAAGTGGGCAGATTGCTTGAGCCCAGGAGTTTAAGACTAGCCTGAGCAACATAGCAAGACCCTGTCCCTATACAGTCAATCAATCAGTCAACCAACCAACCAACCAACCTGCTAGCCATTTACAAATTTATGCTAATTTTACATATGTTCATTAAGCTACAAGTACATACTATGGTTTCTTAACACAGTGAACTATCTTGCTAAGACTTGCTCTTTGAACACAGGAGTCCCACACATGGCTTAGACTGCTTGATTTCTTCCCTTTTCCCACAGGCATGACTGTCCAGGAATCCGTCAATCTAGATGCTCTCACTGAATACATGAAACATCTTGAAGACAAATATGCAGAAATTAAACAAACTATGTTGATAAAATATGTACCAGCTCAGAGGAAGGCTGATTTAGATGAAGAAATGATTGTGTTAGTAAAACGGCGAGATGTAGCTGAAAATCTGAACAAAAAATTACAGTTTAGGTATGGAAGTTGATTATATGTTTTTAAAGTTTGGAGCTTTTATTTGTGTTTATTCTAATATTCCACCATTTGATTTTAGGTTCAGTATGTTATTGATTTTTTTTTTTTAATCTTTATAGTCATCAAAGACTGCAGATAATTTCACAGGCACTTACTTCATGGATAACATCTGACATGAGCACCCCATTTCAAGATTTTGTGGAGCAAATTCAGAAAACCAAATGTTTACAAGGTAGATTATCTATAGTTTTACATTAGTATGGATAATGGAAGACATTTTTTTTTCCCTAGAAAGTTAGAATGGGGTTTTCTTAGGCTGAATTTAAAGAAAGCAAAAACATACTTCAGCTAGTTCTCTGTTACCCTATGGGTTTCTTCCTTCAACAGCTAACAGGTAGTTAGTAAAGAACAGACTTGGTGAGCCAAAGACAGAATGCCTGAAAATGTACCTCAAGATAAAGAGGGAAGGGACAGGGAGGCCACTAAGTTTTGGAAGAGGTTGATGCTGTTAGGAACCATAGCAACAAGTTGTTGGTATTAAACACATGTATGTTTGTTATTTTCTATTGATAAGTAACCTTAAATATCTTTCAGTGGTACTTCCAATATTTACAGGTGACCAAGGCGTTGTTGAAGAACTACTGAAAGATGATCCACACAGGGCAAAAGAAGCTGAAATGACGCTTCACTACATTGAAAGGCAAATATTTTTAAAGCTTTAATTTTCCATGTTAAAGTGACCATATTTACTGTTTATTTTGTATTTTGGCTCATCAAAATAAGTCATAGTCTCTAGCTTTCTTATCTTTATGAATTAGAAAACAAACTAGAATTATATTTTTTCATAGATTCTTTGTGAAAAAAATACCAGATTGGGAATCTAGGAGATTTTTCAGAGGAGATAAGAGGATTATAATGTTGATATGTTTTATTTATACAGGTTAAGCATTCCTAATCCAAAAATTTGAGATCTGAAATGCTCCAAAATCTGAAAAATTTTGAGGGCTGACACGAGATACTGATGCCTCTGTTTTCTGATGGATCAGTATACACAAACTTTATTTCATGCACAAACTTATCAGAAATATTGTATAAAATTACCTTCAGGCTATGTGTATATGGTGTATATGAACCATAAATTTTGTGTTTAGATTTGGGTCCCATCCCCAAGATACCTCATTATGTATATGTGTATATTCCAAAACATGAAAAAATCTGAAATCCAAAACACTTATGGTCCCAAATAAGGGAAACTCAACCTGTATTTTTCTTACATTTCCTGGCTGTCAACCTGATGTTACAAAGTGTTTTTGAGAATGTCTTCCTTGCTGAAACCGTATTTGGAGAGGAAAAAAAAAATGTATTCCTGATTCAGATGATTCTAGCCAATTCAGTCCTTTTTTTCTCATTATTTCTATCCCATGACTTATTAAGAAGGTGTATTTCTCCCTAACAGTTAAGTTATTATGTATGGTATATAATAGAAGATTAAAGAGATCTGAGACTATATTCTTTTTTATACTTTGTTTTACTTTTTATCAAATATTTCAAGTATACATAAAAATACAGAGAGTAACACTAACAAAATGAACACCCATGTGTCAACTGTTTACCAGCTTTGCAGGAAATTAACATATTGCCATATTTACTTCAGCCCTTTTTGTAGAAGTTTGTTGGCGTCCCGCTGTGTACCATCCCTCCTATCTTCAATCCCTTTTCCCTCCTTGTCTCCTCACATAGCTGTTCCCCTGGTGTTTAACATGTCCTTAGATTTTTAAACATTTTTAATATATAGTAAGACTTATTCTTTAAGAGGTTAATTCATAGGCTATGAGGCTTATCTGTGATGAACATATGTAATATTCCTGGTCTTATATGTTGAACAATTTTTAGCTGTTATTTCAGTTGTTGGTATGGTAAAAAGAGGGGGGTAAAGATAATTTTGGAGAGGTCAGAAAAGCTTGTGTTATTTCCTTGTACTGTAATGCTTCTCTAAGTCTAACAGTTTGATATGAGAGAAAAACCCTGGTTGAAATAGACAGTTTTATGTATTTTGTTTCATATTACTTTAGTGGGTTTTCCCCCTGGAGTTCCACATTTGTTTGCAACACTAAGTAACTTCTGTTTGTCATATTTTTATTAATTGTGAGGTAAGGACTGATTTGAAGATCTTTTGCCATAGGAAGAGGAGTAGAGGCTTAAGTTATTGTAACTATTATCTTCCCTTCTTGTGTTAATCTTTGATTGGGAGCCTATTGCCTGGCAGAACAACATAGGCTTCTGAATGCCAAGGACACCTCTTGTTCTCCAATTGAGCAACTTTTATGTCCAATTAATATTTCCTCGAGGCTGTGTTTCTAAGCAGATTGCCCTTCTTTCCCCTGATACCAGGACTTTTTCATGTGGAGATGATATGAAGGGAAAAAATCTGAGTTAATAATAAATTCAAGTTCTATTCTCTATGGCTCACTGTAAGTGCTATAGGAATAAAGTATAGGATCATGTTCAAAGTCAGCTAGCAATTGAGAGTTTTATTCTGAGACTTTAAAAAAAAAACCAACAGAATATTAGAGAAATATTTCAAAGAACATCTTATAGAGTGGATGATTCTAATTATAGTTTATTAGAATTCCTTTTTGTTTTGTGGTTATCGTTATGCCACTATATTTAGTCTGTATTAAACATTTGTAATCTGTCTTTTCTTTTTCTTTGTGTCATTATAATGCATTATAAAATGTGATGGCTATAGATTTAATGAATTAATCTCACTTGGTGAATATGAAAAGGCAGCTAGTTATGCAGCCAACAGTCCTAGAAGAATTCTTCGAAACATTGGTACAGTGAATACATTTAAGGGTAAGCATTTCTCTCTGAACCTTATATATGTATGCACATTTACTACTTTTTCTGTCATAGAATGGAAAAAGCACTAAACTGGGAGACTAAAGATTTAGGCCCCAGCCCAATCTCTACCATTTACTCAGTTTGCTTAACAGTAATACTAAGGGGTTTGATTAAATTTCCTAAATTGTATTATGAACGATTTTAAGTATATAGAAAAGTATGGAGGAACATTAACACCCATGTACTCACTCTTACGATTTAATAAATGTTAGTGTTTTGTCAAATTTGCTCCACATTCCTTTAAAACAGCTTTCTTGTGGTAAAATTGTCATAATACAAAAAATTGTACATATTAAAGTATTTAGTAAGATTTTTTTTTTTTTTTTTTTTTTTGAGACAGAGTTTCACTCTTGTTGCCCAGGTTGGAGTTCAGTGTACAGTCTTGGCTCACTGCAACCACAACCTCCACCTCCCGGGTTGAAGCAATTCTCCCCCAGCCCCGCCTCCCAAGTACCTGGGACTACAGGTGTGTACCACCATGCCCAGCTAATTTTTTTATATTTTTAGTAGAGATGGGGTTTCACCATGTTGGCCAGGCTGGTCTCAAACTCCTGACCTCGGGTAACCCTCCTGCTTTGGCTTCCCATAGCACCTGGCCCAATTTGGTAAGTTTTGACATATGTATACAACCATGAGATTATCACTCAAAAGTTCCCTCATGCCCCTCTGTATCCCTCTCTTCCCACTACTTCCTAGTTCTCTCACCCTTTCCTCTCCGACAGCCTCTCCTTCCCCCAGTCTACAGGCAAACACTAGTGTGCTTTTAGTCACAATAGATTAGTTTGCATTTTCTAGAGTTTTATGCAAATTGAATCATACAGTAAGTATTCTTTTTGACTGACTTCTTGTACTCAGCATAACTATTTTGAAATTTATGTTGTTGGATCTATCCAGTAGTTCATTTCTTTTTATTGATGAGTAGTATCCCATTGTATGAATAGGAGTCCTTTATCAGATATATGCCTCTGACTGGTCCAGTTGTTCCAGGACAATTCATTAAGATTTTTTTTGCTGAATTGCCTTTGTATCTTTGTTGAAAATCAGTTGTCCATATATGTGTGGGTTGTTTCTGTCTCATTGATCTACTCATTTGTCTGGATAGAAATACCACACTGTCTTAAATACACACAGTAGCTCGAATTTGTAATCCCAGCACTTTGGGAGGGATGTATGTGTGTGTGTGTGTGTATAAATATTAGCTTTATATGTCTTGAAATCAGATAGTGTGAATCTTCAAATGCTATTCTTTATCAAATTTGATTTGGCTATTCTAGAGCTTTTGTATTTCTGTACAGTTTTTTTTTTTTTGAGACAGAATCTCATTCTGTCACCCAGGCACTATCCCAGCTTACTACAACCTCCACCTCCCGGGTTCAAACTATTCATCTGCCTCAGCCTCCCAAGTAGCTGGGATTACAAGTGCACGCCACCATGCCTAGCTAATTTTGTATTTTTAGTAGAGATGGGGTTTTACCATGTTAACCAGGCTGGTCTCGCAATCTCCGCCTACCTTGGCTTCCCAGAGTGCTGGAACTACAGGCGTGAGCCACCGCACCCAGCCATTTCTGTACACATTTTTATAGTCAGCCTTTCAATTTCTACAAAATAGCCTGCTAGAATTGGGATTGCATTGAATTTATAGATCAATCTGGAGAAAAAAGACACTGAATAGTATTGGATCTTCTGACCCAATCAACGCATGAAAATGATATATCTCTCCATTTATTTATGTCTTTTAAATTTTCTCTCAGAAATATTTTGTAGTCAGGTCTGCACATCTTTTGTAAGATTTATCCTTAAATGGTTCATATTTTCTTTTCTTTCTTTCTTTTTTTTTTTTTTTGAGATGGAGCCTCACTCTGTCACCCAGGCTGCAGTGCAGTGGTGCAATCCCAGATCACTGCAACCTCCACCTCCCAGGTTCATGTGATTCTCCTGCCTTAGCCTCCCCAGCAGCTGGGATTACAGGTGCACACCACCATGCCCAGCTAAATTTGTATTTTTAGGTGGGACGAGGTTTCACCATGTTAACCAGGCTGGTCTCGAACTCCTGACTTCAGGTGATCCGCCCACCTCGGCCTCCCAAAGTTCTGAGATTACAGGTGTGAGCTACTGCGCCTGGCCTTTTTTTTTTTTTTTTTTTTTTTTTCTTGAGATGGAGTCTTGTTCTGTCACCCAGGCTGGAGTGCAGTGGTGTAATCTTGGCTCATTGCAACCTTCTGCCTACTGGATTCAAGTGATTCTCCTGCCTTAGCCTCCCAAGTTGGTTACCAGAGGCTGTGAAGGGTAGTAGGAGACTTGGGTAGGGGGAAATGGGGCTGTTTAATGGGTTAAAAAAATAGTTAAATTGTTATGGCTGTACTTCCCAAAGCAGGGAAAGTATGGGACTGCAGGCATGTGCCACCACACCTGGCTAATTTTACTTAGGATAATGGCTTTCAGTTCTGTTTTATGGCTGAGTAGTATTCTGTGGAGTGAAAGAGAAAGAGAGAGAGAGTGTGCGTGTGTGTGTGTGTGTGTGTGTGTGTGTGTATTTTCTTTATCCAGTCATCCCTTGATGGACACAGGTTGATTGACTTTGCTGTTGTGAATAGTGCTGTGGTAAACATAATGAGTGCAGGTGTCTTTTTCATACAATGGTTTCTTTTCCTTTGGGTAGATACCCAACAGTGGGATTGCTGGATTGAATGGTAGTTCTATTTTTAGGTCGTTGAGAAATTTCCATACTGTATTCCATAAAGATTGTACTAATTTACATTCCCACCAAAAATGTATAAGCATTCCCTTTTCTCCACATCCTTTCTAACATCTGTTGCTTTTTGACTTTTTATTAGTAGCCATTCTGATTGGTGTAAGATGGTATCTCGTTGCGGCTTTGTAGTTCCCTGCTTTGTAGATTTCCCTGATTTGCGAAGTATGGCCATAACAATTTAAATATTTTTTTAACCCATTAAACAGCCCCATTTCCCCCCACCCAAGTCTCCTACTACCCTTCACAGCCTCTGGTAACCAACCTTCTGCTATGTTCATGAGTTCATTTGTTTTTATTTTTAACTCCACAAATAAGTGAGAACATGTGAAGTTTGTCTTTCAGTGCCTGGCTTATTTCACTTAACATCATGACCTCCATTTCCATCCATGTTGCTGCAAATGATAGGATCTCATTCTTTTTTATGACTGAATAGTACTCCATTGCCTATAAGCACCACATTTTCTTTATCCATTTGTCTGTTGATAGACACTTAGGTTGCTTCCAAATCTTGGCTATTGTGAATAGCACTTCATTAATTATAGGACTGTTGATCATATGGTATGATCATAGGATTGCTGGATCATATAGTAGCCCAATTTTTAGTTTTGTGAGGAACCTTCAAATTGTTTTCCATAGTGATTGTACTAATTTACATTCCCACTGACTCTTGTACACTTACAAGGGCTCCCTTTTCTCCACATCCTTGCCAGCATTTCTTATTGCCTGACTCTTGGATAAAAGCTGTTTTAACTGGGCTGACATGATATTTCGTTGTAGTTTTGATTTGCATGTCTCTAATGATCAGTTATGTTGAGTACCTTTTCATATGCCTATTTGCCATTTGTATGTCTTCTTTTGAGAAATGTCTATTCAAATCTTTTGCCCATTTTTAATCAGATTATTAGCTTTTTTTTCCTGTGGAGTTGTTTGAGCTCCTTATGTATTCTGGTTATTAATTCCTTGTTAGATGGGTAATTTGCAAATATCTTCTCCCATTCTGTGAGTTTTCTCTTTGCTTTGTGATTTATCCTTTCTGTGCAGAAGATTTTTACCTTGATGTGATCCCATTTGTCTATTTTTTTCTTCAATTGTCTTGCTTGTGGGGATATTATGCAAGAAATTTTTGCCCAGACCGATGTCTTGGAGAATTTCCCCAGTGTTTTCTTGCAGTTGTTTCACAGTTTGAGATATTAGATTTAAATATTTAATCCATTTTGATTTGATTTTTATATGACAAGAGATAGGGGTCTAGTTTCATTCTTCTGCATATGGATATCCAGTTTTCCCCACACCGTTTACTGAAGAGACTGTCTTTTCCCCAGTGTATGTTCTTGGCACCTTTGTCAAAAGTGATTTCACTATAGGTGCGTGGATTGTTTCTGGGTTCTTTATTCTGTTCCATTGGTCTATGTCTCTGTTTTTAGTCCATTACCATGCTGTTTTGATTACTATAGCTCTAGAGTATAATTTGAAGTTAGATAATGTGATTTCTCCAGTTTTGTTCCTTTTGCTTTGGATGGTTTTGGCTATTCTGGGTCTTTTGTGTTTGCAGCCAGACTGGGCAACATGGTGAAACCCTGCCTCTACTAATAATACAAAAAAATTGTATTTTGCGTTTTTTTTTTTTTTTTCTATTTTTGTGAAGAATTTCATGGTATTTTGGTAAGGATTGCATTAAATCTGTAGATTGCTTTGGGTGGTATAGACATTTTAGCAGTATTGATCTTCCAATCCATGAACATGGAATATCTTTCCATTTTTTGTGTGTCCTCTTCAGTTTCTTTCATCAGTGTTTTCTAGTTTTAATTATAGATATTATTCAATGCTTCAGTTAAGTTAATTCTAGGTATTTAATTTGTGGCTTTTACAGCACAATTCCTTTTTTAAGTTTCTTTTTCAGATTGTTGTTGGCATATAGAAGTGCCCTAATTTTTATATGTTGATTTTGTATCTTTCAAGTTTACTGAGCTTATCAGTTCTAAAAGTTTTTGTTTTTGTTTTTGTTTTGAGAAAGAATCCCACTCTAGGCTGGAGTGCAGTGATGCAATCTCAGCTCACTATAACCTTCACCTCCTGGGTTCAAGTGATTCTCCTGCCTCAGCCTCCTGAGTAGCTGGGACTACGGGCACACACCACCATGCCCAGCTAATTTTTTTTTTTTTATTATTAGTAGAGACATGGTTTCGCCATGTTGGCCTTG